TTAATTACCCGACGTTTCGAGAGCTTTACAGCACCCATGGTCACGGGAAGGACTGAGATGTTCAACGTCCAGCTGTCATAGTTAACCGCGGTTACCATAGATTAAAATTTAACTTTTGTTCCGATCTACACAGTATGAACTTATGGTATCATGGAGTCTTGCAGTTGTATGCTTGGGTTGGGATTTAATTTTATTTATTATAGGATCCCAAGCAGATGGTAGCACCCAGCCATCTTCTCTATTGAAATTAGGATGTTTTTTGATTTCAGTAGCCTCGCGAATCATCCTTGGAAGGAATCGGTGTTCTTTAGCGAGGATTTGTGGTCTATCAAATCTGATGTAGTGACGGGGGCGATCCTGTACATGTTCACAGACTGCAGACTTCCCGGAGCGTCGATTCTTCACATCAGCTATATGTTCTTTGACGCGGGTTTTAATGGATCTTTTAGTTTGTCCTATGTAGGAGAGACCACATTCACAATCAAGCTTGTACACTCCTGCATCTTGCAGAGGGACGTTACACTTGACTGATGGTAAAAACAATCTTCTTCGGCGGCTTGAAGTATGTTTTGATGGAAACGCGCTTCAAGATGTAGCCAATCTTGTCAGTGACTCCTCTAACATATGGCAGTACAGCAGGTACACGCTCGACTGTGGCCGGCTTCACTCGTTCTCTGTGACGTAGGCGCGGGACCCGAAGCTTGTTGTCATGCAAAACTTGCTTGACATGTTGGAGCTCGGCAGCCAAGTGTTTACTGTCACAGATCCCTCGTGCTCTCTGAAACTAAGATTTACCCACGGTAGCCAACTGTGAAGGATGGTGGTGAGAATCACCGTTTAAATATCTATCTGTATGGGTCTTTTTTTCTATACACAGTATGGCTCAAGGTGTTGTCAGGATTCCGAATTACTAACACATCTAGAAAAGCTAAGGAATTGTTTGCCTCTAACTCCATTGTGAACTGAATTTTAGAATTTATAGAGTTAAGATGGTCTAAAAATGCAGTTACTTTATCTAAAGGTAGAATTGTGAAAGTGTCGTCTACGTACCGCTTGTAGAAACTTGGATTTATGGGAGAAGTAAGCAGGGCTTTCTCCTCAAAGTCTTCCATGAATATGTCGGCGACAATGGGAGATACAGGTGAGCCCATCGCCACACCATCTACTTGCTTGTAGAACTCCTCCTTCCACAATAGGTAGCCAGATGTAAGGCAGTGTCTGAGTAATACTGCATATTCTACGGGCATGTTGTTTTCTTCCAGCCTTCTAGTTACAATTGAGATGCAGTCTTCAACAGGTAAGCATGTAAACAATGACTGCACATCAAAACTGACCATAGTTTCATTGTCTGCCAGACGTAGGTCTTTAATCTCGCTGACAAAATGGTAGGAATCCTTTATGTGTGCTCTTGTATGTCCTCTGAGCGGTGAGAGTATTTTCGCTAAGTGTTGAGCCAATCTGTAAGTTGTTGAATCGATTTGGCTCACTATGGGGCGTAATGGAGCATTGGGCTTGTGTATTTTTGGTAACCCATACAACTTTGGTGATTTGGCGCACGTAGGTATTATCCATTTTACGTCCAGATTTAATTTTTCGGAGTGTTTCTTTATGAGGTCACTAGTTGTTTTTAGTGTGCTATTTGTTGGGTCGTTTTTAACCTTTTTATAAGTACTTACATCCGACAAAAGTTCTTGTATTTTAGAATTATAATCTGACGTATCCATGACTACCGTGGCGTTTCCCTTATCTGCGCGGAGAATCGTAAGTTCTGGTTTATTGCGTAGGTTCTTTAACGCTATAAATTCGTCTCTGGGAAGATTCGGTTTAGGCACTGAACATTGACGTAACATAGACGAAATGTCTTGACGTATCGCCTCCAAATCTTCTTTCCGCATATTGTTTTTAAATAAACAGTCCTCGACACTACAGATAATTTCTTCGTACGGTAATCTGCGTGGAGTTATAGCGTAATTTAGTCCTTTGGATAAAACCTTTATTGTTGCATCATCCAGTGTTTGTTTTGACAGATTATAGAACGCGATTAATCTATGATCTGTGTTTGTCAATGGTTGCTTTTGGTTCTGGCATTGATTCGGATGTTTGACATTTGATTTGGCCGTTAATTTTTGATATTTTTCTATATGTTTGTTTTTGCATTCGTTATATTTACTAATTTCGCGTTTATTTAATGTTTCCATGCAAAAATTATAATCAAACGTCGTTAAAACTTTCTTTAATTCACTGGATGATGTGTCTATGGATTTATTGATGTCATATAGATCGGAGCGTTTTTGTTGGATTACCGCCCGTAACAACTTTTTTACTCGCCTGAATTAATTTCTTTGTTTCAGAGAGCACGAGGGATCTGTGACAGTAAACACCTGGCTGCCGAGCTCCAACATGTCAAGCAAGTTTTGCATGACAACAAGCTTCGGGTCCCGCGCCTACGTCACAGAGAACGAGTGAAGCCGGCCACAGTCGAGCGTGTACCTGCTGTACTGCCATATGTTAGAGGAGTCACTGACAAGATTGGCTACATCTTGAAGCGCGTTTCCATCAAAACATACTTCAAGCCGCCGAAGAAGATTGTTTTTACCATCAGTCAAGTGTAACGTCCCTCTGCAAGATGCAGGAGTGTACAAGCTTGATTGTGAATGTGGTCTCTCCTACATAGGACAAACTAAAAGATCCATTAAAACCCGCGTCAAAGAACATATAGCTGATGTGAAGAATCGACGCTCCGGGAAGTCTGCAGTCTGTGAACATGTACAGGATCGCCCCCCGTCACTACATCAGATTTGATAGACCACAAATCCTCGCTAAAGAACACCGATTCCTTCCAAGGATGATTCGCGAGGCTATTGAAATCAAAAAACATCCTAATTTCAATAGAGAAGATGGCTGGGTGCTACCATCTGCTTGAGATCCTATAATAAATAAAATTAAATCCCAACCCAAGCATACAACTGCAAGACTCCATGATAACATAAGTTCATACTGTGTAGATCGGAACAAAAGTTAAATTTTAATCTATGGTAACCGCGGTTAACTATGACAGCTGGACGTTGAACATCTCAGTCCTTCCCGTGACCATGGGTGCTGTAAAGCTCTCGAAACGTCGGGTAATTAAAAAGTTAAATATACGCGATAAATTCCGTAAAAACTAGTATTATTTCAATGTGTAGTGTTCGCGTAAATATAAGAAATCATTATCCAATTACTGATTTTGGCCTACTCGGAATTCGTGCCCGGGACCCCATGATCAGTGCTCACGTTTCGACCACTAGATCAATGAGGCAGTCAATTTCTGTAATTCCCAGATGAGTAGCCACTGCAGCCTAAGTAAACGTCCAACTAACTTTAAACAAAGAAACAATTTGTCAGTTTGTCTTCCTTGAGAAATAAGATGAAATGCATCCTGTAATTACGACCCTCGTTTTCTTCCTTGAAATTAAACTCTTTAAGTTAAGCCTTCCTCAAGGAATGTCACAAAGCACAGTCCTGAGCCACTTGCATCCATGTACTTCCTACATGTCTTACCAGGTCGTCACTCCATCTAGTGGGGATTCGCCCTACACTCCGCCTACCGGTAAGAGGCTGCCACCCGAAAATCTTTCTTCCCCATCGGTTGTCGGTTCTTTGAGCTATATGGCCTGCCAATTGCCACTTCAGCTTACGAATTCGTCGTCGTGAAGTTTACTAGAATCATATATCTATTTTTTATCGTGTTGCCACTACCGCTGCGTGTGCAAGTTAATATCGCTGCATGAAATCCTAGCATAACTTGGCAATTCGAAACAAGAGTTATTTTATGCTACTAGCCTGCACCAACTTTATCTGGATTGAAAAATATTCTGATATGAGTTTTATAAAATTTGTGCCTGTCTACATCAAGCCAAATGTATATATGCCAAATTAATCAAGTCAGTAACGAGATCAGTGGACGGGTGAGGGAATTATGCAAGACGGCGCACGTAATAGCTCTTCAGGAGACATGGTTATTACCGCATGACATTGCATATATAGGGAATATTGACAGTGACTTTGAATTCACGAGCAAGTCAGCGGTGGACACATCAACCAGCATGCTCCGTGGGCGACCCTATGGTGGGGTGGCGATAATGTGGAAGAAAAATGTGTTTTCGTCAGTTACAATCGTTCCGTGTAATAGTGTTAGACTGACAGCTATTAAAATATGTGCGAATAACCGTTTGTTCCTGGTTTTTTCGGTGTATATTCCTACAGACAATCAAGATAATTTAATTGAGTTTACAGAGGTGTTAAGTGAAATAGACGCTGTAATCGAGAGTTGCGAAATTGAATCTGCAATTATTCTCGGTGATCTTAATGCGCATCCCGGAGAATTATTCTACAATGAGTTATCCAATTTCTGTGAGGAGCGGAGGTGGCTCTGTGCAGACGTGGTCCATTTAAAAATGACATCAGACACATACACTTATATAAGTGATATTAAAAAGGACTGCCGAAGATGGCTTGATCACTGTCTGGTAACAGAGGCAGCTTGGCGATGTGTATCAAATTGTAAGGTATGCCTTGATGTTTATTGGTCGGATCATTTTCCACTGGAAGTAGATTTTAAGATAGGTAATCTGTCATTTAAAACGCCATATAAAGAAAAATGTTGTAACTACGGATACAAGGTGAAGTGGGATGAGAGGGGCGTTGATCAGATTAACGTATACAGTAAAATATGTCATAATAATTTAAGAAATATTGATTTTCCGATAGAATTTAGTTTTTGTGCGGATAAAGTGTGTAAAAATGTAGATCATAGAACTGTAATTGATAGGTTGTATAATAATATTGTTTACATCTTAAGAGAAGCTGCTCAAACTAGCTATGTGATAAGAAAGCGTAGTAAACACAAACTGGTTGTTGGGTGGAATAGGTACTTACAGGAGGTCCATCAGGAGGCACGATGCAGTTTCCAAATGTGGTTACTGTATGATAAGCCCAGTGCGGGTTATGTATATGACAGAATGCGAGAAGCTAGGAGGTGTTTTAAGTCAAAGCTTAAGTGGTGTCAAGATAATGAGTACCAAATAAAAATGGATATTTTGGCTACTCACCACAAAGAAAAAGATTTTAAGAGTTTTTGGAAACAAACAAAGAAGCTGGAAACTGCATCATGCTTACCTGCGAGTATCGATGGTAAGAGTGAGCCCCATCATATCGCAGAAGTTTTTAGGAAACACTTCAAAGTGGAATCTCCATTGGGACCGGTGCAGCGGGTGTTCGATATTGAGGAGAAATCATGCAGTGAATCTGCCAGATTTACTGCGAAAGAAGTCGCAAATGTCATAAATAATATGACACGTGGTAAATCACCTGGACATGATGACCTCAGTATTGAGCACCTGCAGTATGCGGGAGTTCATCTGCCTAGGGTGTTGACTATGCTCTATAATGCATGTATAGGGCATGAATACTTACCTCAGGAACTTATGAAGACCATAGTGGTACCAGTTCTAAAGAATAAGACCGGGGATGCTACCGACAAGAACAATTATAGACCGATCTCGCTAGCTACTGTGATAGCCAAAGTATTGGATGGTTTGCTTGATCGTCGAATAAGTAAACATATACAGGTACATGAGGCACAGTTTGGGTTTATACCTGAACTGTCCACTAAAACTGCAATCTTGCGACTCAAGCATACCGTCCAGTATTATTTTACGAGAAAAACGCCTGTCTAGGCCTGTTTTTTGGACTTGTCGAAGGTATTTGACCTCGTCTCGTACAACCTATTATGGGATAAGCTTCGGAGGGAAATGAGTACGCCTAGAGAGATAGTCGATATATTAAGGTATTGGTAACACAACCAATCAAATAATGTAAGGTGGGCATGTTCATACTCAAGTGAATATAGGTTGGAATGTGGAGTGAGACAGGGGGGCTTAACTTCACCGAGGCTCTTTAACCTATATATAAATGTATTGATCGATGAGCTTAGCAGAACTGGCGTCGGATGCTCAATAGATGGTAACTTCGTAAACAGCATCAGTTACGCGGACGACATGGTGCTGCTGAGCCCTTCAATCAGAGCACTTGAAACATTAATAAATTTATGTGAGAGATATGCGGAAGCCCATGGCCTCAGGTACAACTCCAAAAAGAGTGAACTACTTGTTTTCAAGGCAGGGAATAAAGAACCCAAGGATATCACACCGGTCATGCTTGGAGGAGTACCTTTAAGTAGAGTCACCAAATTTAAATACCGGGGGGCACTGGGTTACAGATGACCTCTCTGATGACTTGGATATTGAACGAGAACGTAGAGCGTTAGCAGTAAGGTGCAACATGCTGGCTCGCAGGTTTGCAAAGTGTACAAAAGCTGTCAAGATAACCCTTTTTAAGGCGTACTGCCAAACATTTTACACCTGCAGCCTGTGGGTCAAGTATACTCGCAGATCCGTAAATGCTCTACGTGTTCAATATAATAATGGCTTTAGGATGCTAATGGGGCTGTCTCGATATTGCAGCGCATCAGGTATGTTTGTTGAGGCTAACACGGACAGCTTTGATGCAATAATGCGGAAGAGAGTGGCCTCCCTGATGCGACGCGTGCGAGATAGTGCCAACGGACTCCTATGTACTGTATTAGGTAGGTTTGATTGTCCGGTAGTGCGACACTGGAACACTGTGCATATGGGGTCCAGAGCTGTTATATTTAATATAAAATAAGCATTGTTGTTTTTAGTTGTATATTTATTAACATTAATTTTAAGTTTATATTATTTATTATTAACAAATTATGGAGCTTATATCCGAAATAAAATTATTATTATTATATTTAGGGTATCTGTATAGTTTTCTCATCTGGTTGGTTTCTATAAATATATAATTATAAATTAAAATGAAAAGATAAATATACATAAATATCAATAAAATAAAATAAATACAAAAACTACACAAATAAATAAAGATCCAACCAGATGGGAGCCCTCGGCAGGGGAGACCAAACGGCCGAGGGTTAGGGGGGAAAGGGAAAGAAACCGACGGACGATGCGGGCGGTATCGAGGACCACTGCCTTCTGCATTTGAGCCCGGAGCGGTCCGTCACAGAGTCCCAGTCGCCTCAGATGACCCGAGAGGCTGACTGGGATTAGCCCATTCGCAGAGACGACTACAGGAATAATTTCGGTCGGCCAACCACCCCACATGTCGGTCACCTCGTGAGCCAGGTCCAGATATTTTGTTCGCTTATCTGTTTCGGCTTTCACGAGGTTCTCGTCGTACGGAATGGTAATGTCGACCAAAAATATCCTTGACTGTGCCCGGTCCATCAGCACAATATCAGGCTTATTTGCAAGAATAGTCCTGTCTGTGATGATGGCCCGGTCCCAGTAGAGCCTGGCGCGGTCATTTTCGAGCACGGCTTCCGGCAAGTACTTGTAATACGGCAATTTCCGGTCCACGAGACCGTATTTCAGAGCGAGCTCCTGGTGTAGAATTCTGGCTACTAGGTTGTGCCTGTGCAAGTACTCAGAGTTAGAAAGCGCCGAACAACCGGAGATAACATGCCTAAGTGACTCCCCGGGATGGCGACATGCTCGACAGACGTCGACGGTGCCATCCTTTAGGATGTATCTCCGATAGTTGTTGGTCTTAATAACCTGATCCTGTATTGCACAGACAAAACCCTCGGTTTCCCCGAAGAGGTCACCGAAACGTAGCCAATTGAGGGAGGCGACTGTATCTACGAAGGGCTCATGTAGAGCCCTGTAGTACCTCCCGTGGAGCTCCTTCTCCTTCCATACGGTCTCCCGGTCGGAAATGCTAAGCACTGCTGGGTCCTGCCATTGCTCGTTGGCCAAGGATAGAGGGGTAAGCCCTTTATCACTAGAAATGACGTCATTATAGAATGGATCATCCGATCAAGCCAGGAAGTAATGACGGAGACTGCACACTTCACGATTATGCATAGTGAGCGCGATTATGCATAGTGAGTGAGCAGTCTCATCGATACCGATGTTTTGTGACATACCCAGGTATCGGTATGTTTCAGCCTCGGAAAGGGTCCTTAAGTTAACGGGCATAGATAAGTCTACGCCCTCAGAGTTAGCAACCCTTCCCCTTTCAACATGGAGGACCGCACACTTATCCGTCCCAGGCTCCATTCCAATGGAATTGCTAAATTCACAAGTGATGTTTAGCAATTCCATAAAATGGGAGCGACTGGAGGCGAATAACTTGAGGTCATCCATATAGAAAAAGGTGGGTCACTTTTGTCCCTCCTTTTCGTAGCTGAAATCCCCTCCCGGAGCCCTCCAGTAAGGTACTGAGAGGGTTCAGAGAGAGGCAGAACCAGATTGGACTCAGACAATCGCCCTGGAAGATACCCCTTCTTATCCTTATGTGGTTCTCCGCAGCCATCATCCGCTCGCCCAGATGACAAAGGATCGTACTCCACTGCCCCATACACTGCTCGAGGAAGTCTCTCACTGTACAGTCTATCTTGTACAGCTCGAGGACTCTCTTTAGCCATGTATGGGGCACCGAGTCGAATGCCTTTCTGTAGTCTATCCAGGTGGCGGAGAAGTTCCGACGGTTGCGTTTCACCACTTTGCCAATGACCGCGTCAATGAGGAGTCCCTTCGGAGGAGAGGTTCCTTAGTTCCACGACCACCACCCCGACATCCATTTTGAGCGCGTGACATCACCTGGTTTAGCTCCAGGTGACGAGTGATTCTCGCGCTCAAAATGGATGTCAGTGTCTTATATATGGTGGGTAGACACGTGATGGGACGGTGTTTGCTCGGGTTTGCAGTTATTATTATTATTAATATCAATTGGGCGTATAGTTTTGGAGATCACGTGATGAGAAATATATGGAAGGCAATGTTAAATATTAGTTATTAATACAGGGTAATAAGGAGACTCGATCTGCCTTGTTAACATTGAGTCAAGGCAACGGGACAATAAATGGGGGTTGCGGGTTAACAGGCCATTACACATTTTCACCGAATATTCAAGTAAATACGCGCGCCAACCGACCAGGCGCAGAAAGTTCGAATGTGGGGCTTCCAGTAAGCTTAATTCTTCTGTTCGGTACTAGATGGCGCTGTTGGTCGAAAGATTAGTTATGTCAATTTCTGGAAAGCTCTCGACGTCAACTTAGGCGCGCAACATTGCCCCCTCCTAAGACATGCTCATCCCGAGCATTATCGGCCCCATAATAACTTACGAGTCCCCCTTGCGCCTTTCTGTATCCTGTAGGTTACATCGTTGATCCTGGTCATAATCCGGTACGGTTCGTCACATTTAGCTTGAAGCTTAGGAGATTTCCCTTTGCTACGGACTGGATTGTGCAACCACACTAGTGAACCTTCGTCGAATCCTTAGGTAAAATCGGCATGATTTTATCCCACTTCTGGCACGAATTATTACTAAATTAATGCGTTCTCGGTTGTATGCGGAGTACCCAAGGAACTGACTTATAAGTTGAGAACTAACAACCGTACGAGAGGCTCCAGTATCTATGGTCAGTTTACACGAAATTCCGTTGACCTCGCCCTTGATGATTAGACTGTTCCCATCATGGGTTTGCGAGATCGAGATCCTTGGGGCTCTTTCAACATCAGCCAGCACCCGCCCCGCAGTTCTGGCTTTTACTCGTTTCTCTGCTGCTGCTGGGCGGTGCTGTTGGCCGCACTAACCTCCTGAGATCGTTCACCTTCCCTTTCTAGGGTTCGCTTAGGGCAGCTGGATCGAAGATGGCCCCTTTACCCACAGCCATAGCAGGGCTGTATCCTTTGTTGCGGTTGCGAAATGTAGCTGCTGCAGCCTCCCTGACGCGATGGGAACGAAGATCCTGCCGCACGGCTTCCACCTCCAGTGCATGGGCCAAGGCGTCCCTAAGCGTCTCGTGGTGTCCTAGCCTCACAGCAGCTCTGACTTCAAAGTCGCGGATTCCGTCGATGAATGTCTGCACCAGGTTCCCTTCAATGAGCGCAGGTACAGACTGGTATGCTTTTCGCACTAGATTTACCTCCACCTCTAGAGCCCACTGCTGCAGGTTTTCGTTGATGCGCTGCACGCGATCTTTAAGCTGCGCACAAAAGACGTGTTTCAGGTGAGCGTCGCCATATCTCGGCTCCAATGCCTCAAGGAGCTGCTCATAACCATGCTCCTCACCGAGAGCTTCCAGAACTGTTAAGGCCTGGCCGCGCAGGCCTAGTGTGAGAGCAGTCATGGCCTTACTTTTATTCCAGCCGTTCGCCTTCATAACAGCCTCGAACTGGATTTTGTAGGCTGACCAGGAAGAATTCCCGTCGAACGGTGACACCATGAATCCACGTAGCGAAGGTGTAGTAGCTACTACGGGAGCTGTACTTCCATCCCCTAGTTTGAGGTCGTCCAGCGTTTTCTTCACGTCAGCCATCACGTTGTCCCCCGATTGTTCACTTGGTCGATTTGGGTTTTAGCTTCCTTGATTTGGGTTTCAGCTTTCGACAAGCGGTTGTCATGTTGAGTAACCCTATCCTTCACCTCTCTTATCTCTTTCCCAAAGGTAGCGTGAAGGTCCTTCATGAGGAGCATCTGCTCTTCCGACCGACGAGCCTGTTCCGCCTGCTGATCTTCTAACCGAGGGGCTTGTTCCTCCTATCCGCGCTGCAGCTGCTTTTCCAGCTGACGAACCTGTTCCTCCTGTCGACGGGCCTGTTCCTCCTGCTGCTCTTTCAACAGACGGGCC